GTGAAAGTGGGCCCCTTGACCCCACTTCCCATTTATTTGATCCTCATAACCACTTGTGATGTAGGCAAGGCAAGTATTTTAATTCCTTCCAACAAGTGGGACATTGAGGCTCAGAAAAGTTAAGTGTCTGTCCCAGAATGGTAAGGTCATAAATGGAAGGGCAAGAATTCATTTGTTAATCCTGTCCAGGCAAAGACTTGACCTGAACTCATAAACTAGTTTTTATTGCATTGTTTATATTATAAGAAAATTGAAATCTCATAAAAAGGATATTTCATAGAATTTTTTTTTTTTTTTTGGTACTGGGGACTGAACCTAGGAGCACTTTACCACTGAGTCATGTCCCCAACCCTTTTTGTTTTCTCACTTTTAGACAGGGTCTCACTAAGTTGTTTAGGAAGTTGCTGAGGGAATCTTCAAACTTGCGATCCTCCTGCCTCAGCCTCCCAAGCTGCTGAGATTACAGGTGTGCATCACACCTGGCTTAGAATCTTTACTTTTAGAATTAGGGAGAGATGCAAGGTCATGTGGTCCAGCCCCTGCTTTCCCACCAGACACTGGTCATTTTCTCTTGGATGAGAACTTCAGACACTTTAATGCATGCTGCCATTCAGTCCTCGTAACCACCTATGATGTAGGCGGGGCAGATATTTTAGCCCTCTCCTGCAAGTGTGAAGATTGAGATATTGTGTTCCACCCTTCACTCCCCATTGAGGACCTCTGCACCCAGGCAAGTCAAGCTGTGAATCCTGGGAGTCCTGACTGATATTGGAGAGACTGAAGGGGGCCAGCTGCAAGATCTCTGGGGAAGATGCTGTATACACCTGCAAGGCTAGAGGTCACATATGTCAAGCTGTAATGGATAGAGGCTGTTCCTGAAGGCTTTGGGGAATTCATTAATTAATAGAATGAGAAGATGAGATGGCGGTTCCAAAGATCACAGACAGCACCATGGATGAGCTGTTTGTATCACTGCATTTTCTGCAGGTGTGTGGAATGGGGTGTGTGCCCATTTATTTTCTAATTTCAGGAACTGGTGCCAGGAAGCCAGGTTTTCTTAGCATCCTTGTTTTAGAGGTGAAACCTAAGGCCTGGAGGGGTATAGGTATTGGCTGAATGAGTTGGAAGGAAAGTGTCAGATTAGTTTGACAACAGATTAGTTTGAGGACAGTCTGCAACCAGCCCTATAATTGAAACCAAGCTGAATCATCTCAAGATAATACCACCTTCTCCCATCTACCCTTTTTGGATACTAAAAATTCATTTAGTAGGCTGGCAGTTACTATGGGACTTTGGTTTTCTTGAGTTAGATGCATCTTTCTGGGTGACAAGCCTGCATCAGTGAGGTGTATCTTTGGGATATAGTGAAAGGCGGGGTCAGAGATGCCCTCAGATGAGCATTGCTTCTGTGCCAGGCCCAAGGTTGTGCCCCATCCTTATCCTAGACAGCCCATCTGTGGTCTGATTCCAGGGGTCTTTCTGTCCACCAAAGGACTAATAAATACCCTTTCATTTCCAGAGCTAATTCAGATTTGTCCTTATCTACTTGTTTTCTTTATGGTATGAATCCCTTTGAGACTTTATCAGATAGGGCTGTTTTTTTGCCCTTGAGGACCAGGAAAGCACTGTATCACTGAGCTACACCCCAGCCCTTATTTGCATCCTTCGATTTCATCTACCATATGAAAACCGGTGATTTTTGAGCCTCAGTTTCTCCATTGCTTAAAGGAGAATTATACCTTTTATCCTCCTGAAATTTATAGTGAGGAATAAATAAAGTTTTGTAGTTACAAATAATTGTACCTAGTGCAGTTTTGGCATATTGTAATATTCAGTAAATATTCCTTCCATCTCTAGTCCCTTTCCTAAATTTAGAAAAATGAAATAGAAATGTCTACTTTTGGCCAGGTGTGGTAGTACACGCCTGTAATCCCAGTGGCTTGGGAGGCTGAGACCGGAGGATTGTGAGTTCAAAGCCAGCCTCAGCAACAGTGAGACGCTAAATAACTGTCTCTAAATAAAATACGAAATAGGTCTGAGGATGTGGCTCAGTGGTCAAGTGCCCCTGAGTTCAATTCCTGGTACAAAAAAAGAAAATGTTTACTTCTTTAATATGAAATCATTATGAAATTTTAGTAAGCCTTGGGAGGGAGCAGTGATAGTGCATACGTATTCCTGCAGGCCGAGCACATGCGAAGCCAAGAATTTGGGGTTTTTCTGCCAGCCAGGACTGAGTCACTGAGAGGGGCCCTGCCTGGCTCAGGGGCAGGCAGGGCTGAAGCACCACATTAGGGCATGTTCCGGGGAAACAGATTCTCTGAATAACTTGGATGGCTCCCTGGAGCATTTAGGACAAAAGCCACCTGGAAGAGAGAGATGATCACCCCCCACATCGCCCAACAGTGACCAAAAAGTCTTATCACTTGATAAACGTTTTCAGCAGTGATTCTTTCTTTAAGACCCTAGGGAGCTGGTTTATTATTTATTTATTTATTTTGTGAAACCTTTTTTTAGTTGCAGACGGACACAGTACATTTATTTATTTATTTATCTATCTATCTACCTGTTTACCTACCCATTTATTTATTTATTTATTGGTGGTGCTGAGGATAGAACCCAGTGCCTCACACATGGTAGGCAAGCTCGCTACCACTCCAGCCCCTTAGGGAGCTGTTTTAAATTTTTTCACTTCAGACCTGGGAAGGGTCAAGGGCTGCCAAGTGTGTGCATTAAACTGGGGCAGGCATGAGCCATCTTTGAGTCAGCCCTTGCAAGAGCCCTTGACTGTGCAGTGGGATATTTCCCTCCCACTCCTGTCCTAACTTCTGGATATTCTCTGTCAGACATCAGCTGTCACCTTCCAGCATCAAGGACAGCTGGATCCACTTCATGGTTCCACCCTCTGAGGTGCTCTGAAATCCTTTGTAAGAGTGGTGAGGATTCTGGTGTCTGTAAGGGAGGTGGGTAGAACTGGAGATGCCTGTGATTCACACAGTTTTAGAAACAAAAAGAAAGAACTCTGGGGGATTGAGAGTCTAACTTAGAGCACTTGCCTGGCATCTTCCTTGAGTCCCATAGTTACTAGCTAATTACCTGTGTACTTGGCTCCCATTTCCTAGTCTTTGGTGTGTTCCACATTTCATCCATCTCTCTTTTTCACCAAAGGGATAGTTCTGCAACTGTTTTGAGTGCAGACTAAGAGGTAGCCTGACTGGGAAGATCACCGTAAGGTTCTCCAAGATACAAGTCTCAAGATCATTTGTGTTGTCAGGTGAGGTGGCATGTGTCAGTAATCCCAGTGGCTCGGGAGGCTGAGGCAGGAGGATTGCAAGTTCAAAGCCAGCCTCAGCAACTGTAAAGTACTAAGCAATTCAATGAGAGCCTGTCTCTAAATAAAATACAAAATAGGACTGGGGATGTGGCTCAGTGGTCAAGTGCCCCTGAGTTCAATCCCTGGTATCAAAACAAACAAACAAAAAATCTTTGTGCTGAGAAGTGAATAGCCTTATGAATGTCCCCAGATGGTTCTGCTACTTTGTGATTGAGTGCTTCATTCCATATAATACTGGGGGAGTCTCAGCATACTTAAGTATCCTCCAATTAATTGCACACCACTTTGTGAAGCCCTCACCCAGCAAAGTGACAGAACAGTTTGGGACATTGATGAGACTGTTCACTTATCGGCATAAACAGTCTTGAGGCTTATACCTTGGAGAACCTCATGGTAATCTTTCCAGTCAGTCTAGCACTTAGTCTACACTCTAAATATAATTGTAGAATTGAACTGTGTTAGCCTTCTGTTACTATAACAAAATATCTGAGCTAATCAATTGAAAAATAGGATTTTAAAAAAAATATTTTTATTAGTTATTGATGGACCTTTTATTTGTTTATATGTGGTGCTGAGAATCAAGCCCAGTGCCTCACACATGCTAGGCAAGTGCTCTCCACTGAGCTCCAGCCCCAGCCCACTAGGACGTTTATTTCGCACACGGTTTTAGAGGTTTCAGTCTGTGGTTGGTTGGGTCTGTTGCTTTCGAGCATGGTTCACCTTACAGCTAGGAATGACCTGGATTCTCATAATCCCCTTCAAGGTCATACCCATGATTACCTAAAACCTCCCCTAGGCCCCAAATATTTGGGTTCAGGGTGCAGGGGAATGTCTCACTGTGTTGGCCAAACTGGGCTTGAACTCTGAATCCTTCTGACTCAGCCTCTCTAGTAGCTGGGGTTGTGAGTAATTGGAATAATAGTTGTGTGCCTAGCTTACATTCTACTTCCTGAAGGTTCCACCGTCTCCTAGTGGCACCATGCTGCGGAACAAGCCTTTAACACATAAACGGCCTTTGGGGAGCACTAAGCTTTAGCATGAATTAAAACAACCCTTAGCCAGAAGTGGTGGCATACCTGTAATCCCAGCAGCTCCAGAGGCTAAGGCAGGAGGATCCTGAGTTTAAAGCCAGCCTCAGCAAAAGCAAGGTACCAAGCAACTCAGTGAGACCCTATCTCAAAATAAAATACACATAGGGCTGGAGATGTGGCTCAGTGGTTGAGTGTCCCTGAGTTTAATCCCTGGTACCCCCCAAAATAAAATAAAGTAAAATAAATAAAACAACCCTTAGTCTTATCGAAATCTGGAACCTCTGATTAAATGTTGGGATAAGCTCATAGTTCTCTTCTTTGTACCTTAAGGAGTAGTTACTGCTTCAAGCAATGTTTTGGTCAGGGTGACCATGTGGCATGTTTTACTTTGTTTTTCTCTGTGCCTCCCCACCTCTCAGACCCTCTTAACTTTTTGTTTTTTTCTTTCCCCAGAGTCAGCTTGAAAAGGAGAATCAGGCTCAAGGTGGAGTATCCATGGAGGTGTGGAGCCTTGTCACCAATCTCTAACTGCAGAACTGGGATGTGGAGCTGGAAGTGCCTCCTCTTCTGGGCTGTGCTGGTCACAGCCACACTCTGCACTGCCAGGCCAGCCCCGACCTTGCCTGAACAAGGTAAGGCAGTAGGCTGAAGGGTTGGCCCAGACCCCCGAGCCTTTGAACAGGCTGGGCTTGCATGGAGGTGATGTGGTTGGAGGTGATGTGATCAAGTAGGAAGGCTCCTTCTTAGGTGGAGCAAAGGGCTTCCTTCCTGTAGCAGAGATGCTTGGGATTCTTAGGCTGGTTGGGCCTGGTTATAAATCTAAATGACTTCATCAGAGGTTGGGGTTGTGAAGTCTGGTGACATCCATCCTGAGTTGATAAGATGAGGGGAAAAAATCTGATTGGCACCTAAGAGCTGGGTCTTTATCCTGGGTGGTATATAAAAATATATAATATATATATACAAACCGCTAGATGGTGCGACGGGGACCAAGTAGCCCATGAGTTTTGGTTTAGCATTTGAATTGTACAGCAAGGGACATTGTAGGATGTAAGAGTTTAATAATAGCCTCTGACTTATAAAAAATTGTTCCAGGGGCTGGAGTTGTAGCTCAGTTGGTAGAGCATTTGCCTTGCATGTAGGAGGCACCAGTTGCTGATCCTTAGTGCCACATAAAAACAAATAAATAAAATAAAGGTATTGTGTCTGTCTACAACTAAAAAATTATATATTTAAAAAAAATTGTTCCAAAGACACATCTTCTATAAGGGTTGGTGGTCATGATGACTGGCCTGCCATTTTGCCTTTCTTGAATGTGTCTCTCAGGCCCTGTTTGGGAGCCTGCTGAGTGGTTTGCTTTAGAGATGCCCTATTTGAGGGATTTCAAAGAGACTGGGAACTGGGAAGCAGGATGGAGCATAGAGACCTATAGTGTGTTGGAAATTCATAGAGATTATTAGTAAGACTTGCCCCCCTGCTCATGGGGTTTGCACAAGTTATGAAAATACCTATGGGAGATTACAAGTGCTGCATGCCTGATAGCTTTTGAGAGACTTTGTGAGAATTAATGTTTTGGCATTTGGGAGGACTTTGAGACTTGGTGACTGGTCACATAGAGAAAGTTGGCAAGCAGTAGATGAAAAGCTTGGGTGCTTATGATGTGGTGGCTGTATTTACAAGGCCATCAGTCTAGGCTATCAGGGACCCGTTTTAATGATGAGTGATGGGTGAGAGAACATGTCTAGTTACATGATGCTTGGAAGGAGCAGGGAAGGTTGTGTGAGACTTTCTGAAGGTGTAATAACTGGAGCAGGCATTCTGTAGGACCACAGGCAAGATCTGAGCAAGAGCATGCTGGAGACCCAAAGTGGGAGAGTTTATCTTTGCCCACAGGAGTTAACCATTAGGTAGAGACAAGTACAGAGAAATAAATGCAAAGTATACTGTGTTTAAATTACACATTGGAGTTATAATAAAATGCAGTGGGGGGGTTAGGGTTGTGGCTCAGTGGTAGAGTGCTTGCCTCGCACGTGTGAGGCATGGGGTTCGATCCTGAGCACCACATAAAAATAAATAAAGGTATTGTGTCCATCTACAACTAAAACAATGTTAAAAAAAAAAAAAAAGCAGTGGGAATGCAGAGGAAGAGAGGAGCACAGATCATCTGAGATGGGTAAAAAGTAGGGGTCTGGGAGAGAGAAGTAAAGGGCTTTCTGTGGAACAGCATGAGTGAGGGTACAGAGGCATAAGATAAAATTGAGAATAGTTTGCCTTTTGGTTAAATAGTTATGGGAAATAATACCTCGGAAAATTAGATTTGGCTACCATATGAAAGGCTTCCATATGCCTCGCTAAGGAAACTGTACTTAAAATGGGTAGGTGCTGGAAAATTTGAAAAATTTAGTGACATGTTCCAGCTTTCAGAAATTGAATTTGGCCATTGAATTTGGACAGATGGGAGGAAGAGGTTAGTTAGGTGGACCTGTTTTCATCTTGCTCTGCCACGTGATGGCTGCATTAACTTCCTTTGCCAAATTCGAACACAGTAAGCCTTAGTTTTGCCCATCTATAAAATGGGAAGGGTAAAAAAGGATTGAATGCAATAATCCAAATAAAGCACGTAGATGGAAAGTGTTAGCATTTATTACTGCTGCGGCCTCTGTTGACAGAAAGACTAGTTAGGAAGGTTGTTTTGAATGTCTAGTTGGAGTGAGATCCGGAAGTAGGATGGGGGCTGTAAGATTGTAAAGGAAGGAAAAAAAGTAAAGACCCTCCAGAAATAGAACCTAGGGGTTTCAGTCGGTAGAATAGCAGCTCTAGATGACTAGAGACAAGACAAGATGAAAGTAAGGGAGTGAATCCGCGTGTGGGAGGTTACGGGGAGCAGAGAAGATGGTGACCAGCCACTGTGTAGCAGGGGAGTCCAGGAACAAGGAGGACACGGATGAGGGTTGAGAATGTGCTTTTATGATGGACCCTGAAGCATTTTCTTTTTCCTTTTTTTAACTTTCTCCAAGACTCTTTGCAGCCCAAGAATGGAGATTAGAGAAAATGAATTCATACAAATCTTTGGCCTAGTCACTTGAAGGCCGGAAGAGGGTGTGGAGCAGGGAAATGTGAGCTAAAGGAGATTTAGATGGGCTGTGGGGCTGGAGGAGGAGGGTCATTGAAGCTGCTGGTGGTGGATCCTATCTAGGAAAGGAAACAGGCAGGGATGGAGGATAGAGCCAGGGATCTGAAGGTCTTGATGAGGACAAAGTACAAGCTCTGAGAATAGAGGGAGGAAGAGAGGGGGATGGGGGCTGTTGGGAAGCTGTAGGCAGTCAGGACTGAGCTTATAAAAACGTTAACTTAATTGAGGTATAATTTATGTAACATAAAGTGTGTTGATTGTAAGTGTATGGTTTCACGTGTTTTGTTGGTTTGTTTTTGTTTTTTGGTACCTGGGATGGAACTCAGGGCACTTGACCACCGAGCCACATCCCCAGCCCTATTTTGTATTTTATTTTGAGACAGGGTCTCCCCGAGTTGCTTGGCGCCTCGCTGTTGCTGAGGCTGGCTTTGAACTTGCGACCCTCCTGCCTCAGCCTCCTGAGCTGTTCAGATTATAGGCATGCACCACCGCACCCGGCTCCATGTGTTTTTATAGAATGTGTGTGTATACCATGTAACTACTACCTCAGCGAAGATATAGAACATTTTCATCACCCCTCACCGTGCCCCTCTTCAGTCAGTCCCTGGGCAACCTCTAATCTACTTTCTTTCACCATAGGTTAGTTTTTCCTGTTTTAGAATTTCATATGATAAAATTACATGCTGAGTGTGTATTCACCCGTTGATGGCCATTTCGGTCATGGGGCATTAGTCTGTTTTCAGTTGTTATAGCAAAAGACCTGAAATTGGATACTTATAAAGAAAAGAAGTTTGTTTACCTCATGGTTTTGGAGGCTGAAAGTCGAAGATCAGGCCGCCCATATATTTAGCCTCAGGTGATGGCCCACCTTGCAGTATCACTACATGGAGGGTGGGTCACCAGGGGAGTGTATATAAGAGAGATCATATGGTGAGATAGGGAGACCAGGGAGGGGCCTCTTTTTATTAACAAGTCTCCAGGGAACTTACAGGTTTCATGAGAACTACATTTAATCCCTTATGAAAGCAGTGACCTTCACTAAGCCCCACCTCTTAAAGGTATTCAACCTTTCAATATTGTCACTCTGGAAGCCAACCTGCCAACACATGAATTATAGCAGTTATGAACAATTTTGGCCATTTTTAATAAAACTACTGTGTTCTGAACATTCATGCACAAGTCTTTATGTTTTTTCTTGACTACCTTCATTTTGATTTCAAGTGCACTTCTTCTTTTTTTCTTTCTTTAATAGTAATGGAGATTTAGCTCAGAGCTAGTCTACCACTGAGGTACATTTCCAGCCCTTTTTAATTTTATTTTGAGACAGTGTCTTACTAAGTTGTGAGGCTGGCCTCTAAATTTGCCATCCTCCTGCCTAAGCCTCTCAAGTCTAGGGGATTACAAGCATGCACCGCCACACCTGGCTTTGACTCCACTTCTTACTCCCTGTTGACTGTTGGGACAGTTTTCTCTGCCTTTCTATAAACTCTGTTAATAATGAATATGTGCTCATAAGGTCATTGTAAAGATCAAATGAGACTGTCTGCACAGCTCTTACACAGAGCCTGGTACACAGTAATAAATGGCTGTTCTTAGTCCATTTTCCCAGGACCCAGGAGTCTACCCCATATGGTAAGGGACATGTGGTCTCCTGGGGCAACTTGGAATGGCCTAGGATGTAACAGTGGAAAGCCATGGGACTTGGAGAACAAGTCTGGTGAAGGAAGTCCCTTCCTAGTGTGGCACTTTTATCCCTCACGAGCTCTGTGGTACGGCACACTGCCCTGCCGTGTCAGAGAACAGCTGTGACTGTGACGGGTTAAGAGAAAACATATCTTCATGCTTTGTGAACTTTAGGGAACTTTACAAATGTTAGATATATTGTATAGTCTTGGCCCTACTGGTTATTAAATAATGCTGCTATTGTCCTCAAAAAACACTATAATCTGTGTATAAAGGATTTGTCCCTAAACTGAAAGCAGACTACCCCAAACCCTGCCTGCATTGAAACCTTTTTCCCCCATTGGAAAGGCTTTGTGCTGTAAGTGTGTGTGGTGTGTGTGTGTGTGTGTGTGTGTGTTGGCAGCCCCTCCCCCAGCTGAATGCAATACTAGCAGTCTGCAAATGCTCCTAAGGGACTGGGGAGGGCCTGGAGTTTCTGGCTGTCCTTGGAAAGTTGATTTAATAAGGGTTCCAGGAAAACCAACCTCCCTCCTTCCCTCTCCCTCTCCTTCCCATTCTCTCGTGTGCCATCTTACCAAATACAAGCTTGTTTCAGATCAGGCTTTGAGGTTTGCGGGTGGACTGAAGCTGGATCACAGGCTGAGGGGTAGAATACCCCTTTCAGAAGATAAGCACCAGCTTGAAAGACATTCTGAGCTTGAGGTGGGCTGTTTCCATTTGTTTTTTCCTCCTAGAATAGGACTTGAGGGGAACTGTGAGTGGGTTCATCCAAAACTGCCTGCAAGGCCACTTTGGGGACTTCTGCCTGCCCCCACTTCAGCAGTCATGTGGGTTAAACATCCCAGACCCCCTGTGGTACAGGACATATAGTGTGTGAGACTTGCAGTCTCCAAATACTTGCTTCCATCCACAGAAACCTGCAACTCATAAGCGATTTAATGGGCTGAGGTTTTACAGCTCCTCCCACCCACCCAGATTTGAAGGAATCTGGTGGTTGGTTGAATGGGGGAGAGGTTACATTTAATGGAAAAGCTCTATGTTTCCATTTCTGGCTGCAAGTCCCCCTGCATGCCATGTGTGTACCACAGAACAGGTCTTTGTCTCTGTGTTCTGCAGAAACCTGTACCCATGGCTGCGGGTAGTGCCAGAACCATGAACCAGTCCTCAAGTTGTAGGGTCCTGGCAACTCTCCCACCCCACAGGGGTTCTGCAGCTGCCTTTAGTCCAAAGGGGTGTGCATTTCAGCTGAGCTACAGCAGGAGTCTCAGATAGGTACCAGGGGGTGTCCCAATATAAGACATGCTGTGATTCCGCAGGCTGCAGCTGATTGGCCTGAAGATCAGTGTCCCAAAGCTGCCCTGGAACACTTGGAGGATGTGCCCCCACTCCACCTCATCCCCAGCATAATTTCTTCTTGTGAAAAGAACCTGTTTGCTTCTAATTCACACTGAATGGCAAGAGGAATTCCAGAAGGCTAGTGGAATTACTTAGAGCAAAAGGTGATGTTGAATGACCCACTTGAGAACAAGGACAGGGGATTTAGGTCTGTAGAAATCCACCAGTGCTCTAAGCTACCAGGTTTCCCTCAGGATCTACTGTGTCCCATGCCTGCCTCCCCAGAGAGGAGGCTGTTTGCAAGTGTTAGTTAGGGCAGGGCTGGGAGGACCCAGCAGCTCTCAGCAGAGTGTGAGAGAATGTGAGGGTGCTCACGTGTCCTGCTTGACCACACTGGGTAGAGCTCAGCCACTCCAGGGCTGTGTTCTTGGCTCTGGCTTCTGCATTGCTACACCATTAGCTTCACTGATTTTCCACTCTGGCTTTGCCAGCCCACTCCCCGAAGTCAGGGAGGAGGAATTTCTCAGGGAAGAACAAATGGCTATCCAGAGGGGTGGGGGAAGGGAGGGAGCCCAAACAAAGAATCCATGATTCTTTGTCCATGACTCTGTCACCTGGTTTCTGTGACTGCCTGGAGTCTGGGGTAGGCAGGAAGGTGTCAGGGATTCTTCTCAAGCCTTCGCGTAGAGATGGGAAAATGGGTCCACAGGGTTTGTCCAGCCAGGGTGTTTGCTTCTGGTCAGGCAATCAGTGAGTGACTGTCTAGGTGGTGATGGATGGCCTTGGGAGAAGTGAGTTCTGGGGAGTCATTATCCAGAAGGGTGAGGTCCAGGGTCAGAGAGCCTGACCAGCAGCTGCGCCCTGTTTTTATAATGCCTCATTCCTCTGGGGCTACCGCGGCCTCAGGCTCCCCCTGTAGACACCACCTTTGCCTCCTTCTTCCTTCCCTGAAGCCTGGAAATGAAACAACTGTTTTCCTGCTGACCGGGGGAGGTCCAGCTGCTCTCCTTCCTTCCCCTGGACTCTTAAATTCAGCTGCCCAGGCCTCCCTGTTCATTCAGGGAGGGTGGACCATTCATTCACAGACTTAGACACTTCTTTCTGCCCAACCTGTCCCCACTCCTCTGAAACTGAAAGTTAATTGCCCTACCTGGCCTCCTAAGAACCTGGGGCAGATCCCAAACCATTTCCTTTTAGGAGAATTCCTTCTGGAATCTGAGCTGCTCCTGACCTTGGGGATTTTCTCAGACTTCCAGCTATCAGTGGCCAAGTAGGGACCCTCCCCCCACGTACACAGTAGGTGTATTGCCAGCATAGTAGCATTAAGCTTGAGCATCTGTCCCCTGGTTTCCACTCTCCTGACTCTTAGCTCACAAAAACTAATCACTCACCTTTCTCCTTTGCCAAAGAGGGTGTCCGCTGCCTTTGTTTAAAGGTTTGTGTCATGCACACTGAGGAAGGCTGGGATGAGGGGTCTGCCCATTTAGTTACAGGGAACAACAAAGATCTGCTTGGGAAACTCCATGCTCTCTCCTAATCCCCCATGTTGTCCAGGTCAAATCTGTACGGTTTGTGTACAGTAGGTGGATATTGGGATAGCAGGCCCTGTCCTGGGCACATAGGTGTATTAAGCCTCAAGTGGTCGTGAGAGGGTCAAAGAGTTCAAGAAAGAGTGGGCTTAATGGTTATGAGCTTGAGCAGGGAAAAAGGGCACGAGACAGTAACGTGGAAGTTTTAAGTGTTAATCAACAAAGAAAACTGAATTCAGAGCTTACCCCTTCCTGTTTTCACTGGGATTGAAAACTAACCTCTGGCTAAGGATTCATTCCTTCATTAATTTTTTTTAACCCATTCATTCATTCATCTGGCCAAATAAGTTTCCCCCCCCCCCCCCCCCCGCTTTTTTTTACTACAACATACACTTTATATGTAACCTTTGTTCAGTCAGAAATGGAAATTATTTACCCAATTTAACCAGTGTTCAGACAGAACTGGCCGTCCTTATCCTTTTCTCCTTTTCACATTTTGTAATCCCTACTCAATTCTTGGCCTAAGGTTAACTTGAGTTTGAGTTAAGACCTAGTTTAAGGGACATATTCTTCTTGGCATCTTCCCCTGTTCACTCCTTGCTTTTTTTTGTTTTGTTTTTAATAATCAATCTAGCACAGACTTTATTCTGCCTCACGTTTTTGGTGTGTATACTAGAGATTGAACCCAGGACCTCACACCTACTAGACAAGCACTCTACCATTGAACTAAATCCCTAGTCCTTGCTCAAATTTTTTTTTTTTTTTTTTTTTTTTTTTTAAGTTTTTGGGTTTTGTCTGTTTGCAGTGTCAGAGATTGAACCTTGGGATTCATGCATGCTAAGCATATGCTGTACCTTTGAGCCATACCCCAGCCCTTGGAGTTTTTAATGTTTGATAACTCCTCTCAAAGTTCTGTGCAATTAGCAAGAATATTGTTCTTTTAAAACATTCTTATTTTGATATGTAGTCTGAGTTCATTGTAGAAAATACAGAAAACCTATAATCCTAGCTACTAAGGAAGCTGAGGCAGGAGGATCACAAGTTGGAGGGTAGCCTCAGCAACTAAGCAAGACCCTATCTCAAAGTAAAAAATAAAAATGACTGGGATGTAGCTCAGTGGTAATATTACACCCTGTTCCCCCAATTTAATCCCTAGTACGAAAAAAAGAAAGAAAGAAAAACTTACACTCCCATCGTCCAAAAATGATTATTTTTTTAAAGACTTTTTTCTTGCCTTTATACAAACTTTCAGAAATGGACTTATACTATATGTACTGATTTATAATTTAAGTCTATATTTATTGTCATACAGAAAAGCTTTTCATCGTGCCTGATAACTACTTAGTATTCCATTGTGAGTATACAAAATTTGTTTATCTTGTCCTCTACTTTGGGAGTAACTTAGGTTATTTCCAGTAATTTGCACTTGAGTGAACATACTGTTACAAATAAAATTTGTTCATGTATCAAAGGGTAGTTACATTTTAAATGTTTTGATATCATCACTATACCAAACTGCCCCCCAGAAAGGTTGTACCAGTGAAAATCTTTTTGAAAGCGGGGCTAGGGGTACTCGCCAGTATGCACAACGCCCTGGGTTCCATCATCATAATAATTAATAGTAAGCATCTTTATACTGCATGGTTTACATTTTTACATCTTTATAATGAACCCATGGACACAAGGTTCATGCCCATGATCAGCTTGAGATTATTTAACCTTAGTTTGAAGTTCAGGAAATTAAGTAACTTCTCAAAGATTGTATAGTTGGAGAGGGGTGGCATGAGGTTTCAAATTCCGGTAGGTCTGATGACATTTTTTTCCTACTCTATTGCTCTCCATACCTATTGGATTCCCCACAAAATTGAGACAGAACACCTTTTGAACATCCCTGCATGAGGCAAGAGAACTATAAGTTCAAGACCAACCTGGGCAATTTAATGAGACCTTATCTCAAAAAATAAAGGGAGCTGGGGATGTAGCTCAGTGGTGGAGTGTTCTTGGTTTCAATCCCTAATACCACAAAAAAATAAAATAAAAAGAGATTTAAAAAATAATAATAATATTAAAAAATAACAAAAATAAACATTGCTGGCTTAGTTCCCCTTATCTCACAGGAATCTGACTTCTCTCTTTGAGATGTTTGCCTTGAGCCATTTCTCCTGTGACATTCTGTTCTGTACTGTGAGGTTCCACATCAGTCACAAGTCTGTGAGCTGCCCTAATGATAGTGGTTCCCTAGCATGGAATAATCAACGGAACAAAACTCTTTCTTTTCCACAGTAGCCACAGACCTCATACTTGGGAGAGATCTAGGATCAGAGATGCTCAAGTGTCAGATACCACACCTGAGTTTTTTTGTAGGTCACACTTAGTCCGGAATGCAGCAGTATTGCCTAGACACAAAAACTACATAGATGTAAACTGGGTGCAATGGTACACACCTGTAATCCCAGCAGCTTGGGAAGGTGAGGCAGGAGGATCAAGGGTTCAAAGCCACCCTCAGCAATTTAGTGAGGCCCTAAGCAACTCAGTGAAACTGTAAATAAGTACAAAAAAGGGCTGGGGATGTGGCTTAGTGGTTAAGTGCCCTGAGTTCAATCCCTGGTACCAAAAAAAACAAACAAAAAAATCTACCTAGATTTCTTTTAAAGCAGTTTGATGGATGGAAATAAATATGTCAGAAGGTTCATAAAGGCTGGGGTTTAGGATTTTTTTTTTTTTAAGGCTACAGTGTGATTTTTCTTTAAGTGCAAAAACTGGGGTGGGGGAGGTCTAAAATTTTGTTTTTCTTAGTGTTTATATTTAACAAATTAATGTATAAACAAAATTTTATATTACAAGGTAGTACCACAGAATAATTACAGGATTTTAAAGGTACATATCAATTTGTGGTACACTATTCGTAGTGCCCTAGGAATAGACACCAGACCTGTTGAAAGTTAGGGAATGTTTTCCTCTGGTTCTGTCAGTTGGTACCATCCATGTAACCTTTTGGGAAGAAACAGTAAAAGTCTTGTAGACCTTTCCTGAATGCTTGAGTGAGCCGTCCTACCCCTACCCTCACTATGTATGGGTCAGGACCAGCCCCAGCCAGCATTAATCTTAATAACACAAATACAATAAATGACTCATTTAAGAAATAGTATCCACTCTTCGGTCTCAGGCCTAAGTCGCGGTGACAGGGCTAAACGCACTAAGAAAGTCGGAATCGTTAGTAAATATGGGACCCGCTACAGTGCCTCCCTCTGGAAAATGGTGAAGAAAATTGAAATCAGCCAGCACACCGAGTACACATGTTCCTTCTGTGGCAAAACCAAGATAAAGAGATGGACTGTGGGGATCTGGCACTGTGGTCCCTGCATGAAAACAGTGGCTGGTGGCGCCTGGACCTACAACACCACTTCTGCTGTCACAGTCAAGTCTGCAATCAGAAGGCTGAAGGAATTGAAAGACCAGTAGAAAGTTCTACCATATAGCAAAATTCTGGTTTGTTGTTAATTGTATTAACTGGATGTTCTGATGTGAATTGTGTTAATATTGCCTTTTCAAAAGAGGTTTGTAAATTGAAGCCCTTCTAATTTGAATTGGAAAATTTTGCTGAGATGGGTTATTGTAATTCAGGTGTTTTTTCCCTCAATAGTCAGATGATAATGGCATGAAACTAAGTCTTACAGCTTAGGTATATACTTAGCTTTTTTTTTTTTAAACCACTGTTCAACTACTCAGAAGATACATTTGACATATTGTACAAAATTTGTTTTAAAGGTAAAATATGCTAAAATACACAAAGGATATACATTAAAAAAAAAGAAGAAGAAGTAGTATCCAATGTTGTTAAAATGCAGACCTTTGCAGGGCAAGGGCCCAGGGATCAGCATTTTAAGTTCCCAGGTGATATCAATATTGTTAATTCTTGAACTACAACAGCTAAAGTGTAGACTTCAACTTGAATATAATTACATAATATTTTCTAGATGGTAAAAAATAAAAAGGTGCAAAAGAAAAAATAGAAGTAATATTCAAAGCCCACATCAAATAAAGACATTAGACCCTAGATTATATGAGGACATACGAAATGACATAGGATAGCCTCTTCTCAAAGGAAAGGTGTAAATTGACTGCTGTACGCTATAGTATACATAATAGTGTGTATACACACACAGAGTTGGGTGTCCCTTTGATGTCAGTATGTTCTGAGAGGTGCACGGTTAGGAGATTTTTGTGGTAGTGGGACCATCATAGAGTGCTTACACAAACCTATGTAGCACAGCCTCCCACAGTCACAGGACAATTAATGTGTGCATCTATGTACATGGTGTAGCCCACTACTCCTGTGGCTGTGATGAGTGAGATGACACGATTTAAATGAAGCACAAGAGAAAATGATGGAGTCAAGACACAGAAAACATGAGCTATATGAGGCTGCTGCTGGCATAATGCCGCCAGCAGCATTAAATATGAAAAGTAAGCTTTTTATATTTAACTAGAATGAATATACACTAAAATAACAATTAAAAGTGTATTATCATAAACCATAAACCAGTTAATTATCATTATTAAATATTATATACTGTATATAATTGGATGTGCTATATGACTAGCAGCACAGTAAGTTTGTTATACCAGCTTCTCTACAAATACATGAATGATGTGTTACTCTGTGACTTGAGACTGACATAATGACACTGGAAATTGGAATTTTTCAGCTCAGTTATAATCTTATGGGACCACTGTCGTATGTGGCTTATTATTGACCAAAACATTATACAGAGCATGACTTTATATCTCTCTGTCTCTTTCTATGTGTATATACATTGATGCACCTTGACTTATAGTGGGGTTACATCCTGTTAACCCATTCTAAGTTAAATGCATTTAATACTGCTAAGCTACCTAACATCGTAGCTTAACTTACTTAGCTGACCTTAAACATGCTTAGAACACTTACATTAGCCTGCAAAATCATCTAACACAAAGCCTGTTTTATAATAAAGTGTCTAATATCTCATATCACTTATAAAATATCTATCCAAACTGACATGAGGAATACAGTATACTATAGAGTATCAATTATTTACCTGAAGCTGCAGCTCACTGTTGATGCCCAGTGTAGGGCATGTCGGAAAACAGATAAAACTCAAAACACAGTTTCAACTAAATGTGTATCACTTTCTTCCTACAGATAAGTTGAAAAATCTTAAATTGAAACATTGTAACTTGGAGACTGTGTGTGTATTTACATATATATGTGTAAATATATATACATATATATATACACATATACAGATGTCTTGGACATATTAATACTTTTTAAGTAGATGATTTCACAAGTAGGTTGCAACCCATTGTTATTTTTTAAAAAGATATCTAAAAATTCTAATTTTAAAAAGGAAAAGCTGTTGGGGTACTGTGGCACCTACCTATAATTCCAGCAACTTGGGAGGCTGAAGCAAGAGATCACAAGTTCGACGTCAGCCTCAACAACTTAGTGAAAACCTGCCTCAAAATAAAAAATAAATAAAAAGGGCTGGAGATGTTGCTCAGTGGTAGAGTGCCCCTGGGTTCCATCTCTAGTACCAAAAAGAAAAAGAAACTGGGAAGGAAGGAAGAAAAAAAAAAGCAAAGCTAGGAAGACAAAGAAAATCAACGAGAAACAGTTTGTGCTACCATGTAGTAAACTCTTACCTCACACGGTACAGTGGTCCTTAGATTTTCCTGGTTCAGTGTTCCCTGGAGGGCATGTTAAAGCACATCACTACATTTGGTCCTCCTGATTCTGAAAAAGGGCCCAACCTTGGTGACTAACAAGTTCCCAGATTGATGCTGCTGCCACCAGTCCTGGGATCCACACTTTGAGAATCTCTAAATTCAATTCATTCCCATACCCAGAAAGTCTATATGCTAGGCATTGTTGCCATTTAGCAGCTTAGGAGACTGGCTCAAAGTCTCAAAACTTGCTAAGGTTCAACAGCTAATAGATTGGTGGAGTGGTTCAGGATCAGGTCTTTGCCAAACCAATGCCTACTGCTCTAACCCCTGTGCTGGGAAGAGGTGAATGAAGATGGAACTTTGGAGGTTCTGGGAGGAGAAAGGCATGATAGGCTGGAAAATGGGGAGAGGTGGGAGAAGATGAGTACTTTCACCTTGGAGGGCTGCGTGGGGGAGACTGGAATAGGGAAGTGTTCTAGAAGCCATCCTAGGAAGGAAAGAGACCCTCTTCCTGGAACACCCTCCTGCATTAAGTCCATTATCATTATCTTTGGGATGCATATTCTCCACCCCTTTAGGAATCTGCTCCTTTATGGTCAAACTTGAGGGTTTATTTTTGGAATCAAGTTTTTTTCCTTTGCTGTTAGGAATTAGCCTTTGAACTTAGAATAAAATTCACCCCTTGATGTCCAAAACTTATGATTTGTTGTTTGAATGGTCAAAACCCTATTAATGCCTGAGAGGTATGGTTGGAAGTCGTCTTTATTTTATCAGGGTAGCCCTTCTTTGTTATCCACAAATTCCCAATGCATTTGAAAAATTTATTGACCTATCTTTTCTCATGGGATTGTATTCCATCAGCATCAAAAAAGGATCGTGAAGTGAATTCTTGAGTAATACTGAGTTTTCTGCTAGTCTTAGAAGAGATGAATATGAGAAGCATTTATTGAAGGTGCTGGTGGCCAGAGTTCTGTGACCAAAACAGATTCCCTTTTCTTAAAGGACAGTTACGTGGAGAGACAGTTCCCTCCCCCATCATCAGTGTGCTCTTGGTTGGGGGCAGGTGGGGAAGTCAGTGGATGACACTCCTCCATCCAGCAAGGCCCTCCCTGTTGGAACCCAGGACATTGGTTAGAGCTGGAAGGAAACTTTTCAAGTCAGCCTCCTCATTTCACAGAGCATGAAGCTGTCAAGGAAGGTGACTTGCCTGGGGTCACATGGTTAGAGCTAAGGTTAGCCAGTGGAGTGATTCTACTCTGCTGCATCCAGCCAGTGACAGCCACCTGTGTGGCTCAAGCTGAGTTGGGGACTAAATGGTTTCTGCAAAAGACCTCTCTTCCCCAGGATTCTAGTGGTCCTGGATCCCTGTGGAAGCAAAGGCACATAGACACCAGGTTCATTCTTCTATGTGCTCTACCTGAAAGCCATAATATCCTAAGTAGAAAAACCCAGAAACTATGTGTTTAATTCTTAAAACAGAGTAAAATGCTCATCTTTGATGGCTGTGTGCATGAGAGAAGGAGGCTAAATGATGAATACCTGGTATGTGGAAGATGGCATATAAATGAAGCAACTTCTGGGTTTCCACAGGCCTGGAAATCTGTGAAACTGACCCTTGGTCCCATATTTTTAGATTTAGGACCAGTATAATTCCCCTCCTAATATTTTGAAGCCCATGTAGGGTTCTCAATTTATTTTACTGAGTGAGCACATTTTTAATAAGCTATTGGTGTCTACCCCCATCACCATTTAATTATTTTTATTGGGGTAAAACATACATAACATGAAATACACCAGTTTATCCATTGTCAAGGGTACAGTTGTGTGGTATTGTTTGTTCACATTGTTGTGCAGCCATCACTACCATTCCGCTAGAACTTAATTGACATACCTATTAATCAGCGCCTCCTTCTCCTGTCCCTCAGCCCCTTGAACCATCATCTATATTATGTCATTTTAAGAGGATGTTTTATCACTTTTATTCTCTTAAAGTGAAAATAAGAGCTTTTTTTGTGTGTGTGGGGAGGGGGGTTCTGCTGAGAATGGAACCCATGTTAGACAAGCTCACTACCACTGAGCCCCACCCCCAGCCAAGGCCATTTCTTTACATTGAGAAAAATGTTACTTTAGGAAGAAATCATTTCTTTCCCCACCTGGGAGTGGGCCTTAGGCAGGGCTCTGACCCAGGCCACCCAGAACCACCATCACAGGATTGAGACCTGATGGGGGTGTGGGGCTGGCAGAATGTTGGGGTGCTGAGAGTCCTGGTGACTTGTGCAATGCAGCACACCTATTGTGGTTTGGGGGGTCCATAAGGTACAAACAGCTGAGGCCTCTACTAATGCATCAGCAAGTTTAGGGAGTGACAACTTTTTCCTGGCCAGCTGCTGGTGTTTCCTTCCCCAAATCAGCACCGCTGAGCCTGGGGGAGGGGCAGCCCTCTGAGAGGCTGGGGAGGGCCTGGGGGTGGGAGAGGTGGGGGCAGGGCAATACATTCTTTTCTTTAAGGAACCTGACCGGACTTTAAGGTCAGAGCGCAGCGGAGAGTGGGAGCTGCAGGGTTACCTCTTCGCTGTTGATTCATCTCGCTCTCCTCCCTCCCCCACTCTTAATGATCTTTCCATTACAGAACCCAGACCAGGAAGTGCATGACAGGTCGCAGCTGCAGACACATGGCTGGGAGGCCTGGGCTTTGGGCCAGTGGTAGGAGGGTCTGAACTCTCCTCCTACAGCAGGACCCCTACACACACACACACACACACACACACACCCCTCCCTTCCCCCACCTCAAGCTAACATCTTAGTGGAAGAAGTTTGTTCTTATGCATTTTATCAGTTGGTGACCAGTTATACTTTTGCTTTGAGTTTAGGGCATGATTTTTTTTTTTTAAAGGCAGGAATAAGACCTTCACCTGACCTACCGTCCACATAAATTGCCCATACCAGCTTTTAAAGAGTTCCCCATCATTGAGCAGACTCTTGCTCCTTGTCCCAAAGTAGAACCCATCTAGTTATGGTCTT